AATAATTATATTTACTAACAATTTCAAATTCAAATTTCAGGTAATTATTACAAAGAGACTCTTTTTAAAGATTCGAAATCTTTTGTGTGCTTGCTTATTCAAGGAATATTCAAAGATCGACTAGAAATAATTCGAGTTTTGGTATTAATAATTGATTTTGGATGAATGATAGAAAAATGTTATTATATTTCGTAGCAATGCATGACGTGTATCGCACGTCACTTCTAAGAAGAAACACAGCGTTTCTTACGATCACTACCAAACTTGGTGCTGTTTTTATCCATCTTATCCAACACGTAGCGCGCAAGCAAATCATTTGACTCGACAAGATTCTCACGACACAAGAACTCATCTCCACAAAGCCTCTCAACGTCTCTGTAATAATCATGAACAAACACATGAGTCTTCGGATTCCCGCCTTTTTTGCTCCGAGCAAGAACCGCCGCCGTGAAAATCGACGACATCCTCCCCGGTCCTTCGTTAGCATCGCCACGTGGCCCATCCACCAAAATCACATCCCAATCAAGATCGTAAACGTGGTTAGGCAAATCGTTTAAACCTAATTTGCAATCGGAGAAGCGGAGATTCTGCACGGGATGACATTCGTTTCCGGCCGCTTCTTTCGCGGCCGCGACGAACTCTCTGGCTTCTTGAGCTTTGGTCGTGTATTGAACGTCGAAAACGTCTATCTCGGGGTGGATTTTTTCGTAGTAAGCCGCGTAGTATCGGTTCTCCTCGACGAAGACCGTGCGGCCCTTGTGGTTTAGCGATTTCCATAGACGAGGAGATTTCGTGTGTGAGTCCGAAGACGAGGAGATTACACGGCGGAGCGCAACGTCGGAGGAAGTCGGAGATTGATTTCATCTCTCCGTATGACATGTGGAAACTGTCGTTGGAGTCGTTGGAGTAGTAAGTCGGAGCGCAACGTTGCGTTTTCTTTTTCAAAATCATTATATACTTGTAAAAACATGACGAAAAAAGAAGTAAAACAAATTAGTCATATTAAACTTTGCGGAACATATATAAGAAAAAAAATTAAGACGAAAAAGATTACATCGAAATCAAAATATCGAACAAAGTAATAACACAAAAGGTAAAGAGACTAAAAATTTATAATAACACTCCACTGTTATGTTAGAATTCTAAACAAATTAGACTTTTTTAAAACAGATTTTAAGAAATCAAAAGCATAAAACAAAATTCAAAAAAGAAACACATACAAAAAGTCTTCCTCTACCAAAAAAAATTCAAAACAAAATCATAAATTTTAATACGTCCTAAAATTTGCCAACATGTACTAAAAAAACCCGCGCATAGCGCGGCCAAACACCTAGTGATTAATAAACAACTTTATTGAAACATTTTTGTAAGAATTTATTTATCCAAATAGACTTTTGGACAGACCCGCCAGATGAGACCCACGTGCATTACTTTAAAATAAGTAAAAAAATTTACTTCTCCATCTATTTAAACACAAACTAGATAGATAGATATCCGCGTTATACGCGGAATAATATGAACGCGAATAAAATCAATATAATTTAATTTAAAAAATTATGTATAGTTATTGAGAAAATTATTTTTTTTGAAGCTACGAACATAAAATTTCCAACGTCCATATATTTTCTATACTAAAGTATATTATATTATTAGATATAATGAAACTAAAAACTTTCAATTTTAACTACTTATCTTATATGTATTAAATTATAAACCAAATTAGAATTGGTTAT